TATGATAACAAAAATTCTATTCTGATGATGATGATGATGGTTCTATAAACTATAAAGATTATATTTTTTGATTAAAGAAATGATTTTTTTAATAGAAGATTTGATTTTTGCAAAGCCTTTGATGTTTAGCTTTATTTGGAATTACCGTCTGAGGCTTCAAAAACCCTCATTGATGTGAACTCTCTGGCTGTCTGAGGCTACTTATAAATAAATCTTATAAAGATTATAAATTTTTTAGTTTGGGGTTTCCTTAGATCTAGGCCCTCAGATCTTTATACTTGTAATTAAGGTATGAAATGGACTGGTAGTTCTTTTAAATGCATCTGGGTTTAATGAATTTGCGCTTTTATATAACAAACATAAACATATAACATACGTGTAGAAATTTTTTTCCAAATACCAAAATTTATAATTTAATTATAGTTCATCTTTTCTAAAATTTGGTTTAATTTTTCAATTTCTGATTTGTTAGAAATGCCGGGTTGCCAGTTTCATATACTTTTCTCTTGTAAAAAATATTTACGGCATTGGCAATTCCAGGTATTCAACATCTATAAGAAGTTTAAGGGCTAGGGGTCATGAGAAAACCTTAAACTATATAGATGGCTGTTAAATCTGTTTGTAGAATAACTTGGATCCTATGAGGAGTTTAGCTCGTTTGGTTGCCTTTTTTAAGGGGGAAATTGGTTGAAAGCCTGTCAAAAGTGTCAGTTTTGACAGATGTTCTTGCAAAAACGTTTTTAAAATAGTCGTTTTTGTAAAAAGTCTGCTAACAGACAGCCCCTTAAGACCTGAGATAGGAAAGCCGTATGACACCTGAGCAGTTGATTTATTCACTTCAGTCCCTTCCCTTTCCTCTTCTCTTCTTGCAACTCCTTTCTCAATTCTGAAGAAATTCAGTGTTGATGTTTAGCATTTGCTTAACCACAGGAGATTAGATCTGAGGCTCTTTGGATTAATTTGAGTTCAGCTGTGTGCTTGATTTCAAAACGGTCACCGATGGTTCCTTAAATATTTTGATTTTGTAATTTTTGGTGTTTTAATTATTAATTTAGCCTGATGCCACGTCAACAGTAGCTATGTGCTTTAACTGGAGATGCTATGATTGGGCTGATATGAAGCTGGGTTTCTGGCGTTTCGCATCTTGATAGGAAACTATGGATTGAATATTAGTGATCCATGGTGCCGTTTTATGTGATTACATGCTTCATCTATTTTTTGAATACTTTTTAAAATATTATTTTTTATAACTAAATTTCTTTTCAAATCACAATTAAAGTTTGTGGTGTTGCTTTTATTTGGGTGGGTGGGTGGCAGGGTGGGTGGCAGGGGGTCAATCCTATAATTTTAGGATATGGATTTCACCCTGGGATTTGAAATCTATAAGTAATTTGTTATGAGTTGGGATTTCTAAAACTTTATTTGTTTTAAGAATATTTTGGGATGTGAAATATTTTAATTTGTAATATTTTTGTTTGTTTTAAACTTTTTGGAATTTGAAAATTTTAATTTGTCTAACACTTTTGAAATCCACCCCACATCCCATAAAAAAAAAGGATTTCACAAATCCTTAAATATTTTTTTTTATTATTTGGGGATTTGATATTCTAAAATTTGTTTTGAAACAAACAAGTTATATAAAATTCTAAAACCCAAAAAAACCCTACTTTTTGAATCCTAGAATTTGAAATCTCATCCAAATGCCAAATTTTTTTTGAAACAAACACCCCCTTATTTTTTGCTTCTTTGGCGAGGCAGATTCAAAGTGTTTCTTCTGCACCCCTAATATTATTGAACTAGTTATTTCTTTAAAGTTTGAATTGCCTTGCAAATCCCAAAACTTAGTTCAAATAAGTTTTAGGAAGTTCTGCTCTCGGTAAATTTTCATGATTGTCTTTTCTTTTTCCGGCCGATAAACGATCTAATGTTGGATTACTCCTAACTAATTGATTTTTCATGCAAAATTCATGTAGTACATGGAAGAAAAGCTCCTAATTCTTTGGTCTGAAATATTAGACCATCTAGGAAGTGGTTTGGACAAATTTTCAAAATAGATTTTTTTCAAAATTTATTTGTAGTAATCAACCCCTTAGATTTAATTGTTATTTTTGACTTAGTTTTAGCTATTTGGTTAAAACTAGATAAAAAATGACAAGTTCGAAAACTTTATGAGATTTAAAATCTTTATGAGATTTAAAATCATGTGAAGTTTAGTGTCTTATAAACAGTGGTAATAAAAAATCTTCAATCTTCACGGGATTTTCATAAACAGTGGTAATAAAAAATCCCAATCCATCTTTGGCAGAATTTTTTGAACTGATAGGAGGATGCCGAGGAGGATGAGAAAAAGGCTTAGGATGAAGGAGATAATCAAGATTAGTATTTTTGATTTAGTGTTTTGGAAATTGAATCAATGGCCTCAGCTTCTTCTTATTGTTTCTTGAATTGGGTATCAGAATCAATCAAATTCTGAACCAAAGCTTGAGCGGATTGCGTAACAAGAGGTGAATGGTGCAGTATTGAGACGCGATCATAGAAGTCGGTGATAGCAGTTCGATTTTTTGGTAAAATGTCAAATATTGGACCATGATCAGAACTGATCATTGTTTCATTCTAAATTGGTTTTTGTTTGGATCAGGTTATGTTTGGTCCAAACTAAAACTAGTTTAGAGGGCTTTTTGGACTTATAAAAACTAGCCTAACATTGACTCAATTTTTTACCAAATAGAAAAGTATCTTATAAAAACTAGCCTAACATTGCCTCAATTTTTTACCAAATAGAAAAACATCTAAAAATTTGGTGAGGTTTAGTCTTGATTCAGTTTTGGAGGTTTGCCAAACACATTTTTAGGGTGTGTTTGGCAATTCTTTAAAACTGGTTCAAGTTTGAACTTGATTTGATTTTAGAGAACTTTTGATTAGCAAAAACTAATAGCTTGGTTTATTTTAGGCCATTATTTAATGGTGTAGATTAATTAAGTTGTGGAAATCAAGAGTATTAATGCTAATTTTGGCCGGATTTAGTTTTGAGTTTATTTGTGATTGGCAAAAATTATGTTAGTTCTAGCCTAGTACTTCTTAGTTTGGAGCGTTTGGTAACTTTACACTAATTTGGTTAAGGCTTTAATCGGGCTAGGATTGGGACCGAAGTGAGAGTTGTCCTAAAGGCTTTAATCGGGCTAGGATTGGACCGAAGTGAGAGTGGTTTAAAAATAACCTAAATAAGAGTTTCATTTGTAACTTAGGAAAATAAGTTTAAACTTGTACAACTTCTTGTTAAACGCAAAATAAGCTCTTATCCAGATTAGTGTTCTTATCTAAGTTAGTAGATAGTTTGCCAAACAAGCTCTAAAAGTAG